TTTGGTATCAGAATAGCATGTTACGTTCGCTGTGAGTCCCCACTGTCGACAAAGAGCCGCTGCGGCAGGTTTATGCCGATGTAAGAATATAGGACCGGAGTGATCATGAACCAGGCCTATTACCGCGACGTAGCCGATTTGGACCAGATCAGTGTTACACACCAAGACTTGCCATAGGAGCATCGTATGAGCATCAGCCATGAGGCTATACCACACCAGCGCCAGGAGTGACGAATCTGCAGTCGTACCAGTCTTGGGCCGCAGCGCCGGCGCCAATTATGAAGTTCATAATTGCAACAATCCGCACCGTGCCAATGTCGTCCCAGATCCGAACCCGAGTCAACCCGCTGCTGTAGTTCCAGACCTGTTGTAAAATGGTGTAGCAGTTCCGGACCTGAGAGTTAATCTCCGCGGGAGCCTTAACCAGCGCAAAACCTGAAATAAGCTGATGCCGAACCCACACCGAGCCTGGAACAATTGCTGTAACGGTGTCGGTTCCGAACCCGAACTGAGCTACCGCGGTGGTCTCAGACCTGAAAACAAATCACTACGAGGGTTCTGACCCTAAAAACGAGACGCCGTAGTGGCCTCATGCCTGAAACATACTGACGCCGGCCCCATACCGAACCAGAAATATACCGCTGCAGAGGCTGGAGGCCTGAAGATAAATCACCACGGAGGTTATGAACCTGAAATAGATCCTCACAGTGGTCCCGGACCTGAGAACAAATCACCGTAGTGAAACAGGTGTCACCGGGCCCATATCGTACCTGAAGCACGTCAGACACTGTAGGACGTAGCCACTCCGTAACATCTCTCGTACCCGCACCGAACCAAACATCATAGTGACCCAAGGTAGCACCTGTCCATGCGTCTCCCGCTCTCAGAACATCCCAACTACGGTAGTGTTAGTAATCATGCAAACCAGCGAAAGCGACGCAGGGAACCTCGACCATCGGCAGTATTGAAAACTGTTAAAATCCGGGGAAAATGTTCAATCCGGGGTCAGGGCTGATGGCGGGTAATCGAGGCGAAATTAGGCCAATCTCCGAATAATCATGGGTTTCCGTCCCTTTCATCGTTTTTCATCATTCTTCCCTTTCCTTAATTCTATTGTCGAAAATAGTGAATTAAATTCCGAGAAAGTTTAAATAAATGACCAAATTCCTTCTGTTTCTTTTCTCTTTTACCATTTTTAATCTCTTTCTATGTTTTTAATTTCTTTGCTGGGAACATAAAATAACAAGAGTATTGCCCCTAGAATTAAATGCCGTGAAAAATAAAGAAATTAAGAGATATTATGTTTTTTCCCTTCTCCCCTACCGGTCTTAATCCTTTACCCCCTCTTTAACTTTGGTACTAAAATAGACAAAAAATTGAGGCCTCTTTTCGGCCCCGGTCGTATTGCTGCAAAAACGTTGTAGCGAGGTCAGTTCCCGCGATGCCTCTTCGCGACAGGCCAATCCGAGTCTAACCTTCTGAACGATTGGAAATAGCGGTCTCTAGATATGTCGAGTGCGCCTACCCATCTCACCGTCTTTGAGGGTTAGTCGTAAGGTTCAGTGTGCCCAAAATCAGGGGTGCCCTGAGTTCCCCTAATTTTTGCTGCCTGGTCATACCAGAGTACCGTCAAAACACGGACTTGTCCCTGGGCCTAAGTCCCAAAACCGTAGATTTCAGGCGGCGCACTGCTTGTGGCCGCTTGACAGTTAGCCCGGACCACTTCTCGACGCCCCCGTCGAGCCCTATCCACTTACGTCAAATGAAGCGGACGAGCTTCAGGATGATTGTCCGTAAAGGACGCCCACGTCGACGTTTAATTGTCTTATGTTTCAGTTCGATATGAGTTCTGGGACTAAGAAGTCGCTTCTTGACTCCCCTTTTTCTTCGAAAATTTGGCCTGGAAAGGATTCTTCCTCTCTTCTGAGGTCGGCCCGTGATAGGTGCCGGTTCGTCAGCTTGTCTAATACGAACTCTCCGTCTGACTCTCCTGAGCACAAATAACTACTTCTTCCTCTTTCCCATCGCCAACCCTTTGACCTTTCTTTTCTCCACCCTTCCCCTCTTCTTGGAACTCTCTCCCGCCTCATATCGCCTCAAGGGGGCTCCATCCTCCATTTTGACTTTCTCTTTCCCTTTCGGGCCTGTCAGCGATAAGGGGGGTGCAGGCCTGGGTCTAAATAACTTTAACCTAGCACCTGCCACTGGGTCCTTCCACTTGGATCCGTCTAATTCCGCTATCATATATGCACCCCAGTCGAGTGCCTCAACCACTCTATAAGGTCCCATCCATCTGCTTGCGAGTTTTCCGGTCCAGGGCCTCTCCAGTGCTGCGTCGGAGAGAAAGACCATATCTCTTATGCTTACCCTCTCCTTTCTGATCCGCACATTCTTATCCCATCTCACTTTACCTTTGTCCCTTTCCACTGCCAGACGATCTGCCGCTGTCATAAGGTTGTCTTCCAAACCGTAGGCTATCTGTCTAGTTCGGGCAGCTATGAGTTCCTCTCGGGACATCTACTCCGCCCAGTCAATGGTCGTCCAGCTGTCGATGTGAAACTCTATGGGGAGCGGACAATGTCGCCCAAACCACAAGATGTAGGGTGGGTACCCAGTGCTAGCCCGGACCGTTGTCCTCCCATATCGCATATCGAAAATATCGTGGCCAATCACTGTCCTTACCCTTGCACCACTTGGACAGTGACACGATCAGAGCCTGGTGTCCCCTCTCTACTAGGGAGTTCGACTGTGGGTGGTAGGCAGTGGCTATCGAAACTCTCGCCCCAACTCTCTGGAACACGCTCTGAACCTCATCGGCTAGGAATTTCGCCCCTCTGTCCATCACTATCTTGCTGACACAACCATACCTAGATAAGTACTCTGGGACGAAGTTCTTTACTTCCTTTGCCGCCTTACTCCTGATAGGTCTACCGTCCACGAACCCAGTGAAATCGTCTCGTATGTTCACGACGTAATTCATATTGCCTACCCCTTTCGACATTTTCACCAGATCGATGTGTACCTTCTCTCCTGGTCTGGTCGAATAGGATGGATGAAGTGGATCTTTGTATTTCACAAGAGCTCTCTTCTAACACTCTTCGCAGATCATACAGTACCTCTCGACGTCCTTATACTGTCATTCCCACCAGTACAACCTGCGTACCTTTTCGTAGGTTCCTTTGACTCCCCTGTGTCCTCCGACTACCCCATCGTGAAGCTCCGCAACTATTGTCTCTTTCTCCTCAGGGTTACAGACTAATCGTAAGGGCATCCCCGAGCCGCCCGGCCTTCGAAACAGATGACCAGCTCTAAGGCAGTACTGGGCCGCTTGATTCCGGATATCTGATTCTTGACTCTCCTCTCCTGACAAATGTAGCCCGATCATTCGGTATTTGCACTCGTAAAGGTTAACCAGAAATCGCTCGGTGCATCCTGGCTCCGTCATAGTCTGGGCCCCAGCTACTATCGGGCGCTCGGCCTCAAGAGGGATGCGCGAAAGTCCACTTACCACGGCATTTTTAGTGCCAGATATCCTTTCCACTGTGTAATCATATAGACGAATCCGTATTAACCATCGGACGATGGTCGGGTCCGTCAGACTAAAGTCCTTCTGGAGGACAGAGGCAACCGCGGTGGGGTCTACTCTCAAGATGAACCGTCGCCGATAGATATAGTCTCTGAACGTGTCTAGACACCGGAGAACAGCTAACACTTTCTTCTTGAATTGACTGTACTTACGCTCAGCCGTATTAAGTGTTCTACTTTAAATCTTAACGGTCTTTCCTTTCCTCCAGCGTCCTTCTGAGACAGCAACCCACCAACCGAACAAGGTCCCTCATCCGTGGACACTATGAAAGGTTTCTCTGTCTCATCGTCAAAGAATGACATGCCCAGTACGCGTCCTCCCTCCTTAAATTCGTCTTTAAGGTCTTGCATAGCCATTTCCAGCGAGGAACCCCAACAAAATTTCTCAGTCTTTCGAAGGAGTAACCTCAATGGCTCAGCCTTCTCCGCATACCCTCGTATGAATATACGCCAGTATCCGACCACCCCCAAAAAACTTTTGGACCTCGGTTGGACTATGTAACGGTGACGGCCAGTCCAGGAGTTTGTCTAGCTTCGCCGGATCTGCTCGGCGTCCTCTCGAGTCACAGATAAAGCCCAAGATCTTAATAGTCGAGACGGCCCATCGGCTCTTTGTTTCGCTGACCGTCAAATTTGCATCGTCCAACTGCTCAAGTACAGCACAAATATATGTTAGGTGCTGCTTGACGAATTTTCTAACTCACGGTACAACCTCTGTATCATCCTTGTCTACTGGCCTTTTTATAGGAAAGTCATCCAGAAAAACCTCAACCTTATCAGGGATGAAGTCCTTGAGGACGGCTACCATGACTCTTTGAAAAACAGCTACCCCATTAGTCCATCCCATAGGGACAACCATCATCTGTATCAGTCCAAATGGCGTATGCATAGCCGTGAGGTGCCTGTCCCTAGGATCAAGTGGTACCTCATCATAGCCTGAGAACAGGTCACAGACGGAATAAATTGACCTGCCAACGGCGCCTTCTGCTAGTAAATCGGCGTGCGGCACGGAGCCCACGTCTTGTATCGTCACCTCGTTGACCTTCTGAAGGTCTTGGATCCATCGGATCTTGCCATTCGGCTTTCGTAGGAAGAACCATCGATTAGCATATGCGCTATCAGACGGCTCCGCTACATGGGAAACCATCTTTTCTTTCAGGAAGGCGATAACTTCTTCCTTCTCCTTCTGGGCGTATTTCCATCCTGCGTCATTCCGAGGAACATGTGGAATCGTGTAAATCCTCGCTTGCTTAGCGTATCGAGGGTCAACCCTACCACGCTCCGCGTCGCTGAAAGCTATTGCCTTATCACATGTCTTGAGAATTTCTATCACACGTTCTCACTCCTGTGGGGTCAGATTTCCATCTCCGATGTCCATCCCTGCTATCCTCTCTTCCATTAGGCGTTGTGGCTCCTTTTCTTTCTTTCTTTGATTTCTTTTGCGATCTTTTCTTCCGATATCCCTTCCAATGGAGATCGCTCGCGGCCCACTGCCGCTGGCTTAACTTTTTTAGCTACTCGCTTGTGACGCTCGGGTAGCCCCCCATAGGGCCTCACCAAATTCCTCATCTGTCTCCTTTGGGTACGAGTTGCCGTCCACTAACAGCCGACCCCCTAAATCTTCCACTTCCACGATCCGACCTTCTTCCTCTGTGAGCAGTGGTCCATACTTCTTCTCGCGAAATCGTACCGCGCGGCCAGAGATAGGTAATGACTTAATCTGATCACTGGATCTTGCTCCCACTGCGAGAGCTGCTCTGTTCCTTGGATCCCGAGGCTCCACCGTCTCAATCATAACCCTCGTCCCATCTAGCTTCTTAATGGACAACGTCTGGCTTCCATCCGGTCGTTCTATCGTCACCGCATGCACATGGCTCAACCACGTTCTTCCCAAGAGCAGATCAGAGCTGCAGTTCTTGACCGCAAAGACGGGCAGGGTCACTCGTACCCCTTGGACCTCTATGGCTGCCTTGTGACAAACCCCAGTGATCTGTTGCTTTCTCTCATCAGCAGTCTCTATCTCGAATTGGTATGACCTATCGAGGCCCAGTCCAACCTGTACTGCCAGATCCTCGTCTATAATGACAGCCTCACTGCCGTTATCGATCACAGCATCTAGTACCGCTCCATCGTTTATGATCGTCTCCACGGCCCCACTACCAAGTCTGTAAAACTTGTCTGGTGGCACACCTTCCATCTCATCAAGAAGGACTGTCGCCATGCGATCCGCTCTGGCAGTCCCCCCCGTTACTGCTACGGTAGGAGCTTCAGCCTTAGGGGCCCCCTTAGCCTCCTCTGATAGAGGTATGCGAGTCTTTCGTGTGATCATATGTAACTCATTGCGAGTTGGCTTAGATGCCGCCAGGTACTCCAGAATAGAGCACTGCATGGGCTGCCGAAGGGCCCGTCTCATTGGCTCGACCGTGTCAATCTCATCCAGCGAACTCTTCATCAAGAACTTCTTTACTCCCCGCTTTCGCGGCGAAAGAATAACCTCCTCCATCGATCTGCTGCCCGCCGTCCTTCTCCGCCATCACGTAATCTGTGTCGGTCTTCTTCGATGTAGATCCTCTCGCGGACTTGGTGGCTGCCACCCTTATGGGTGTGGTCGCTATATCCCCCTCAAAAGTTATCTTGATGCTCTGACTCCTGACCAGTTCCTTCCCTCTACTCGGCTTTACTCTCCTTGCCTCGACATTCTCCTTCATCGAAGGGAACATCGATACATCTCTCAGATCATCTGCTCGCTTGACGTACTTGCGGTCGTCAAGCACAACAAGCCCCTCATCTATTGCCCGTTTGAGGTCCGGGCAATCTCTCTTGATATGATCATCCCCTCTACAGTAGACGCAAGAGTTCCTAGGGGTGGGTGGTCTGTCGTCCGTGCCTCTTGAGGTTGTACCTCTCGCCGCTCTGGAGTCAGGTGACTTGGGATACGGCTCTGATGAGGCGCCATATCCCCCTCTCTCATTCCGATCGTGCGAATCGTTGCGGCGGTCTCCCCCAGATCCTCCTGACTCATATCGTTCCCGTGAATCGTTTCGGCGGTCCCCAGCGTCATATCGCCTGCGTGTCTCATCGCGCCGATCTCCTCGGCTGTACCACCCCCGTGAATCGTCGCGCCGCTCTCTCTCGTATCCCCCGCGGTCATACCATCTGCGCGAGTCGTCCCGTTGGTCCACGTCTCGACCTCCTCTCTCATATCTGCCACCTCCGTAGCCATCTCGATCCATCCTCTCATATCTTTCGTCCCTATATCCATCCCGGTCTGATCTCTCATATCTGCAGTCCCTGTATCCGTCTCGTTGGCCCTGATCCGACTCCCACCAGCCTCTAGAGTCGCCTCTACCCCGATCGGCCTCATAACGAGGGCTACGCGAGTAATCATCCAGCCTCCTAGCTCGCCCATACGTCTCGCGAGCTCTGCGGTCCTGGTCTATCTCATCATCCCTACGTCGCCACGGCTCATCGTCTCTCTCCCTTTCCCTCGTACGATAATCAGTCAGCGTGCGAGGATTTCTGTCCTCGGCACTCCTCCAGGAATCGGTGTTCCTCTGATCCCAACGAAGTGAATAGGGCCCTCCAGGTTTGTCCCGGTAAGTCATGGCTCCTGTGCTTGTCACAATCTCTGTAACCTGTCTTGTCAATCCCTTTACCATGTCCCTTGTCTCCTTCACTTCCTCGGTCACGGCTTCACTCTTCTCCGACCAAGGGAGGTCCTTGAAATCAGGGCATCTATCTGTGGCATACTCCTTGTAGAGAGAGAAGTCACGTCTCCTCATCCCTCTCCACACTAAGTCCTTGTAGTCGTCTGCCTCTGCCTTTATCGCGAGCTTTAGGACTTCTAGGAAGTCAAGCTTGTCGCGCGGAAGATTTCTAAGTATACTCTTTTGTCTACCTTTGGATAGGTGTCCGATGAAGATAGTACAATGTTCGACCTCTGAGATCTTCCCCTTCTTCATCAGCACGTCGGAGATCTTCTGGAAGCGCATCCGAAAGGCCCGTACACTCTCATCCTCATCTTGAGTCATCGTTTCAAGGTCCTTGATGGAGTACTTGTTATCCTCCAACTTGTAAAGCTCTACGAGGTTCTTTTTGTACGTAGTCTATTTTCCATCCTTGGGTTGGGCTTCCTTAACTTCCTTGCCGAGGCTTGGGTCCGGAGATTCCCGAATGGGGTAACCCCTTGTACTGCCGCTGAATCCATAGGCGGATAAGAGAGAACCTGGTGAACTGAAACATCTTAGTAGCCATTAAATAGGAAGTTCTCTATAATCTCTTTCTCCGACCACTGACTCCGACTTGCATGAAGCTCCCACTTCTCCAGGTATTCTGTGATGCCATAACCCCTAAAAGTAGGTGGCTCAGAGGCCTTGTGGGTAATAATATAGCGGTCCTTGCTCTCGTAAGGGACCGGATGCGACTCCCCTGTCTGAGGGTCGAAGACTCGCCTGGGCGGCGCCCGATCTCTTTCTCTGTCCCTCCAATAGGAATCCCTCGAACTCTCCCGCCAGTCGTCTCTGTGCCTATTCGCCACGGTCTCTCTTCGCTCATACTCGGGGGAGCGTCGTCTCGTCGCTTCTCGTCGACCGCTCGAGGTTCCCGTCTTCAGTGCCTCCTGCGGCTCCGTCACGACCGGCTCGCCCATTACGTGGGGCTCTTTGTCATTGGTTTGGTCAGCCCATCTCAGCGGTGCGTCCCGCCTAATTCGTTCCTTCAGATCCCTCAGAGCTCGGTCGGGCGATGTCCTGTACTCCTCTCCTGTCTCGGACGTGGTCGGTTGTGGCCCCATCGTGTCTGGTTCCATAGGCCACCAGAAGACGCAGTCAGGCACTCCTGCCGGGTGTTACAGCCCGGACTTATGACAGTTGCTGCAGCCCGGATCCGTGACGGAACTCGCAGCCCGGACCAGTTTCAGAACTCGCAGCCCGGACCAGTTTCCTTGTCACGGTTCACGCTCGTCACCAACCCTAGCTCTCGACTGCCCTGATCACTGCCACCAGTACTCGGTTCCGGTCGTGGATCTCGTGCTCTCCCTCTATCCCAAGAATCCTTGTGTCTAGGTAGACCTCCCCTTCGGGATCGGCCAACAAGGCCGCGCCTCTGGATCAGCAGTATAGCCGTGACAGGATCTCTACACCTGCGGCAGACCGCAGTCCTAAGCCTAGCGTATGTCTCCTGATCAAAACCCCCTCAAGAGCCTTCGAGCGTCTAACTCCGCCCTCCTTGTTAGGTCTCCTAGCCCGTCATGAGTCGGGTAGCGTGCTGAAGGTGGAAGCTCTCCTCCTACTGCCATCCAAAGTCGTCCGCCGACCTTTCTGACCTGTACTTTCCTTCCAAGAGCTTCCAACCTCTATTTCTCCTCCTTCAACTCTCAAACTGCTTTGAGATCATCTGTCTAGCACCTGAGGTAAGTCAGTGCTATAGCTACTCGTAACCTCATCGTCGACAATTCCAAAATGTCATAGAATGTCTCAAAGTCCTCCTCATCTCCATCATCTTCTATGGCCTCTAAAGTCTTTATCGACTCCTTCCAGTACCGATTATGAGCAGCTAGCACCCTGAGTATGGCACCGTCTGTTACAACTCTCCCTAACTTTCCAGCTTTCTTGGCTTCGCTTATCTTCAACCTCTCAGCCTCTCTGGTCGTCTCGTACCATGCCCTTATCCGCGACTACCCTTCAAAAGGTGTTACTCGAAGTACGTATTTTATCCTCCGTCCCCCTTCTGTTCCAATCCAAAGTCCTATCCCCCTGGCCTCATGCAGGGCACGGCGGACACACTCTGCCTCCTCAACCATGCACAGTCTGGTATGGAGCTGGAGCTCTACGATCACTAACACCAATGGTCCATCCAATCTCCCTACCACATGCAATGAGTACCGATCCATCGTGTGTAGTGCAGTCCCGCTCATGTCCTGTCGCTACCTCCCTTCGTTACCTCGTCCTCCGTTGTCACGCCCTTTGCAGACCTCTCACTAGTTCCTTCGCGTGATACGCTTCTAGCCTTTACCCTCTCCAGAAAGTCTGATCTCCACGCCTGGATAATCTCTCTTTCCTCCCTAAATAGACTCTCCAACTCTCTCGTCACGAGCTCAGCCCCACACAACTTGCTCTCATCCTGGCACGACCAGATCTCCCTTAACTTGTTCCCTAACTCCTTTACCTGGTTCAAAAGGGGTTCTTTAATGCGCTCTCTCACTCTTCCGACTGCATCACTCTCCTCTTCCATACTCAGTCTTCATCTTTTTCCAGCTCATCCTCTCACTCTTGCNTTTAATGCGCTCTCTCACTCTTCCGACTGCATCACTCTCCTCTTCCATACTCAGTCTTCATCTTTTTCCAGCTCATCCTCTCACTCTTGCTCTAGCCTCCTCTACCGTCTCGTCATAAAAGTGTTCCGCACGCATATAGCCATGTGACCATATCATCACCTCATAGGAAATCGAGGTCTGGAAGGTCACCCGCGCCAGTACATCAGCTCTATGCTCGTGGATCAAATCCCCGGCTCGTTGTTTGCACTCCCTCGCTGTCAAGTCCTCATCTATGTACGCTCGGAGTAGTACTGTCACAGTGTACCCGGTGCTCACCAGTTGCTCCCCAACACACATCAATGTGGCCATCCTCCCCGGCATTCCCTAAGATGCGGCCTCGAAGAGAAACCTCACATCCTCCAGCCCCATGTAATCGATCTCCGCCCGTCTCCTGCAATACCTAATCAAATCGACTGGGCTCAGACAGTCCACCCAGTTAGTAACGTCTATGATGTCGTCAAGCATCTCTCTACTGGGCGGTCCCCACCTCACACAAATGGCGTAGTATACTTCCCTGAAATGGGGCGCTAAGCCCTCCCAAAGCACGTAAAGTGTGTGGTCCACTGCTCTACTCAAACGTTCTACGCTCCCATAGGTCTGCCCTATCACGAAGACAAGAAGTCCAAATTGCCAATCCTCTCTCGGGTAGAGGGTCGGATGTGGTGGATCGTATACCAAGCAGCTCCAACGCGTCCTCCCTCCAGAGAGTCTCGCCAGTTGCTGATTAACGATCACTCTGGCCAACGACTCGCTTCTCCACCAACTCCTGCTCGCCCCTGCGAGCGTCAGTCCTATCTCTAAATCGTGTGCTCTATCTGCTATCAGATGTCCGACCCCTTCTAGATCATGAGTCCTCTCGGGTCGTTTGTCTCGTAGTATCACTGTCCAAAGGAAGAGCCCCTCTGCGAGCCACGTTCCCAAGTATCGTTTCGGAACACGCCCTGCCCCTTTTAATGCCACAGGAAGTGGTATGTCGTTTCCAACCGCCGTCTCTCTGGGTCCCACAAGCTTCCTCACACCATACGATTCGGACTCTCGTGAGAGAACATAAGCTAACCAGGCCACTGAATCACTCCTCATCTCTTCTCCGACTCTCGGTCAGCATCACTCTACTCCCTCCGATACACCCCATCGCTCAACGTTGCTAACCCCTCAGACAACTCTCGCACTCAGGTCCAGTATGGTCGAATAGGTGTTGTGCGCTCTTCCGTCTGCTCCATGGAAGTAGATAGTAAACTCGACGTACCTCTGGCTCCTCCGTATCTCCAGGGCATGTTCCGTCATGAGTCCGATCTGTCGCTCAACAATCTCTAACGCCTCTCCTTCCCAGCCACCCGTCCTATCTCGCCGCAGGGAAAGAGTCACCCTCAGCATATCCCGGTATGCCATACTCTCTGCTACTCACGCATTTGGCATATCCTCATCTGTGTCCTCATCTAGCCTCTGACCCCATGGGATATCCTCCTGTCTCTCTGCCTGTAGGTGATGTCCCCAGCCGTCCTCCTGGTCAACCCAGGGGTCTATGTCATAGAAGTCCTCCCAATCCTGATCCTCGGTGTACCACGCAAGACCGTCAGCCTCTGGATATACCTGCTGGTAATACTCCTCAACCTCGCCGGTCGAGATGAGATGGTCCGGCCTCTCCTCACGAGTCTCGGCTAACAGCTGTCCCACTCCAACTAAATGATCAGTAGGCCTCCGAGCCTCTCTCTCTAGCGCCGTCCAGAAGGCTTGGGGCTTCCGGTAGGTACAATGGCCCGCAGGAACTCAATCAACTGGAGCCCTCGCTCGCCTACAAGCGGCCCTGCTACAAACTGTGCATACAACACCCAATTCCTGTCGGTGTACCCCCGGCAGAGGCCGTCCAAGTCAAGAGCCGCAAAGTAGATCTCACCCAGATGTCTAAGTCCCCAAAGCTCCTCCGCGACGAAGCACATAAGTGTCACTCGCAGTCGACTGCTAGGATATGGGAAGTGTCCTCCAATCCTCAAGGTCGTCGTCACTCCCCGAACACCCTCGTGCAGCCGCTCTGCCTCGCCCCGCACGGAGTCCGCTCGGGCCAGTAAAATCCTCCTCGCGCTCTGCTCCTCTCGCCAATGATCGTGCACGATGCCGTGAAAATAGACTGTGGCTAGCATCTCCCGCGAGTAGTAAATGTGGCCACTACCTCTATACTAGTCGTGCCTGGTCGTCGCCACCTCTGACTGTCTAGCTCAAACGTCTCGATGATATACATCCACAAGTGCACGTCTGGGCCCAACACCGCAGAAGACCACCGACTCTCTATCGCATCCGCGGAAACCCCTCTGGCCGGTAGATCTAGCGCCACCCGGCCTGGCGCTACTGTCTCCGGAGGCCTAGGCCATCTGGCGTCATCGATCTGAAGCTCTACTCCACTGACCTGCTCTATCATCGATCCGATCTCCACTATCCGCCGATATCAGTAGCTAAGCTCACTAAACCGTCGCCCTAATGTGCTCCTCTACCTCCTACGCCCGGACTGCTACTCCTATTCTGGGAAAATGGGCGTCCGCAATGTCAATTTCCTCCTCGTCAACCTCACTCCCCGGGTCGACCCAGTCTGGCTCCCAGGCGTCGTCGTCGTCCTCTCGCTCCCCTTCCATGTCGTCAAACTCGTCCTCGACGTGGTACAGCGCCTGTCCTATAGCCTGGTAGTACTCCGCCAACTGATGGCCATATATCAGAGGTCGCCCGGCGTCCTCACCCCACCAGCTCCCCCAGTCGTCTGAGA